CCTTTTCTGGTCACTTTTTACTTTATTATCAGGTGCTCAAGAATTTTAAACATTTATCTTCCAAGGACAATTAACTTTGAACTTTGATCACTTGTTTCTTTTGAACTTTCCCACCGCCCTCCCTCCCATGAAGCTACCAGAAAGCTGCAAATTCCCTGGATGACTAAGGAGCTCCAGGGAACCAGGAGCCAGGATCCTGCACCCTACCGCAAAATCCTTGATGACCAATGGTCAGGAAATGACAAGTAGAGTAAAAACTGTGTTATAGCACAATTCCATCCTCATCTCTCCAAGCAGATGTCTAGAAAAGAAATGAGAACAATGTTTGTGAAAAGCAGAGATTAAGAGCAGGCCTGAGGGGCTGGAGCAATAGCACAGCGGGTAGGGTGTTTGCCTTGCACGCGGCCAACCCGGGTTTGATTCCCAGCATCCCATATGATCCCCCATGCACCACTAGGAGTAATTCCTGAATGCAGAGCCCAGGAGTAACCCCTGAGCATCACTGGGTGTGACCCAAAAAGCAAAAAAAAAAAAAAAAAAAAAAAAAAAGCGGGCAGGACTGAGAGATGGACTTCCTCCTGTTGTACCCCTGGCACTGCAGCGTCCCCAGAGCACTACCGGGGTGATCCCTGAGCACTGAGCCAGGAGTAAGCCTGGACTTTGGCAGGTGGCCCCTCAAAAAAAGAAAGAAGAAAAAGAAAAGATGTTGGAAAACAGAGAGAGGAAGGAGGATGAAAGAAAAGGGAAGTCTAGAAAATCTGCCCTGATCAGAAATCAATACTCAGAAGTGTCTAATGACAAAAATGACACCTGCTCTTGAGTTATTCTTCTATCAAAGCACTTTTTTTCCTTATACTTTTTCCCACTTTTTCCTTCTTCAAGATGATCAAGTCCCGTATGATTCCATTACAATTTTCCAACATTAAAATCTGAAGAGAAACAATAGAAGGCCTGGCTAGAGCAGTTGGTGAAGTCTCTGGTAACTTAATCCTGGGGATTTTTCAGGCTGTAATAGGAGAACAACCCTCTTCTGTGCAGCTTCAAACAACTAAATAAGAAAAGGGCTTTTCTACTAGGGCATGGGGGAGCTCTTTAGCAGAACTCCAGGAAAGCAGGTCAGAGAAGTAAGAAACAAGTGGAGAAAGTGCAAAGATGGCGAAAGCCAGGGGGAGGAGAGGCTCCAGGCATGCTGGCAGAGAGCACTAGAAGCAGAGATAAAGTAAAGTCGTTTTTCCAGAGAAACTTGCCAGGGCTGAAGGGCTCCCAGCCACTTGGCCTGCCCAACTGCCTGACTGAAGGGGTGTTTGGGGCCCAGAGGTGACTGCATTTGCTGAGAAAATACTGGGCACAGCCCAAAAAGGATGCCTCTGTGAGAAAAACGGATCTGAGCTTCTTGTAAGATTCACCATCACCCAGAGGAGGCTACCAATCTAGTTATTCTAAAACTGCAATCAAAGACCCTTCCATTACCTGCAACTCCTGAGCTGCCTAGATATGCACCCAGCACCCAGCAATTAGACGCCTGCATAAACCCTCATCAGAAAGGTACACTGCAGCTCGGGAGGTGAAGGGTCGAGGCCACAAATCTGATCCCCAGTCCTCCCAGCCTTCCCCTCCACCCCCCACCCCAGTAAGTGTGTTCTGGGAAGCACTGAAGTTTGTGATCCCTGGAGCCGAAACAGTACGATCTGGCATGCCACAAACCAAGCGTGTGAGTCCAACAACCAAGTGTGTGTGACTCCCAGGGAACAAATCAACAAAGGGAAGGGGAAAATCTACTAGAAAAAGAAAAAGAGGGCCCGAGAGATGGTACAAAGGATATGGTGCTTGCCATTCATGCAGCCCACCCCCAGTTCAATCCCTGGTACCACACATGGTCCCCTGACCTGCCAGGAGTGATACCAGAGCTCAGAGTCAGGAGAAAGCCCTGAGCTCTGTTAGACCTGGTCCAAACTCCCCACCCCCGCCCCCTACTCCAAGAATAACAAGTGGAGAATAATGCAAATATACAGATATACGTGCACATATACATATATTTGCAAAATATATACACACACATACACACACACACACAAGTCAAGTGTAAGAGGGTCCACTGAGCACAAAGGTTGGAAACCATCTAAAAGTGCACAGTGAATCTGTGGGACATTCAGCCATGGGTCAAATCAGTAATGAGAGTGCACATTTCATAGTGTCACCAGCAGCATCTCGAGTGAGTCTCAAAAACCTAACTCAGAAGAAAAGAAGGAGAGCGCTGGAGGGTTCCACTGGTACACTGATAGTTAAACGTTAAGTGACCGTTAAGTGACCGTTTAACTATCAGTGTATCTGTGGAACCCTGCAGCGCTCTGCTTCTTTTCTTCTGGGTTAGGTTTTTGAGACTCATTAAGTGAATGGCATCATTAGTGCAAGTATTTCCCAGAGGGGTTTGGAAACTGCAAGTTTAAGCAAAACAAAGTCTAATGAAACAGGCCCTTGACATTGGCCTATGCCATCAGCTTGGACTGTTCTCCTCCTGTCAATGTCAGAAGAAGAAGATGTCATCTGAGGACCTGCCTTGCGTGTATAGATGAGTTGGAAGTCAGTGTGAGTGGGAAGGGCCACCTGGGGGTCCTGCTTCTGGATGCGAGTGCTGAGAGGATAAACGTGGAACTAACTACTTTTCTCATATGTTTACAACAATTAAAAATGTGTTTTAGTTATGAGGGACCGGGGAGATAGGATGGTTAGTGATGCATGTTTGGCATACCCAAGATAGCCTGCCTCCCTGAGCACTGTGGAGTGTAACCCTGGGAGCCCCCAAGTACCACCAGATGTGGCCTGCGTTGCCCCCAAGCATCTCCAGGGTGTCCTTAGTGGTCCCTGGCCCCCCGGAAGCACTGCACTGTCTGGCCCTCACACTGAATTGCCTGACCTGCCAGAATTGACCCTTGGAAGCCCTTCCACCCCGGCCCCCATCACCAATTTTAAATTAAAGTTATCCAGATAAAACAGGCCTGGTGGTATCCTTGTACCACTCTACCTTCATTCCCCCATGCCCACTCCTTAGTGGCACTGCGTCTGCATGTGTGTGTTTAATACATGGGGAGAGAGCACCCAAAGAGTATAACCATACCCATGGCTTCCTCCCACCAGGCTGGGAACCACCCCCTTCAGCTTCAGATGCCTTTGATACCATACACTACTCACAGTGACCCAACTCTTGCTTCCCCTTCCTCGGCGGCTCAGGAGTTCTCCCCCTACTTTTGTGCACACATTCACTGCTGTTTGACGTCCACCAAGGTTCCCCACCTCTCTGTGTCTCAACAGCAGCTCTGATGAAATCACTCTCAGGAGCCAGAAGGGCATGGAAGGGTAGGGAAAGTGAGCACCCCTTCTCCTGAGAACTGCCTGGCTCCATGACACATCCCCTGGGTCCCAGGGCACTTGTGTGAACTCCTGCATAGAACCCTGGAACCTCTTTTTATAGTTCTTTAGTTTTATAGTTCTTTCACCTCCAAAGAGGTCACCTGCTTTCACCTGCTTTCACTGCTACAAAATACCCCAGCAAGGCAAGCCAGCAAGTGGAAGAGGCATATCCAAGAACAAAGAAATGCATCTGTTCTAATTCTGCACTATAATTTTCCTTAAATTTCACTAGTTTTTTTTTTTAATGACATCAGACTATTTGGGAGTTGTTGCTAAAATTACAAGCAGGAGTTTTCAGAGTTTATGTGTTCAGCTCCCTCTCTCTCTCTCTCTATAAACTCTGTACCTTCCCACTTCACTCATTTCCTGTCTCTCCCTGAGTTGCAAGGGCGGTGGTTAAACATAACCAAAACTCTGCAAGGTCCACTTCTCCTTACAGGGATAGCAGCATCTCAGGTGCTGGACAGAGGTAACCACACATGCTCCTGCAGCTCACAACATCCCTGCCCAGGAAACGGATGCAGTGCCAGGGAGCCTCTGCTCTCCCACTGGAAACGTCAAACATTCTTCCTAAACGACAAGCTTTCAGGCTCACGCAAGGGCAACAGGGACCCACCTCCCCGGCCCCCGTTTGCCTCCGTGCCTCTCTCCACTCAGTAGCCTGGGATTCCACCACACTTTCAAGCAAGCATCCCTCTGTGTAAAGCATCGGCCGGCAGAGAGCAAGAGAAAGCTTGGCTAAACACCAGAGGGCAGATGAGCCTCTTTTCTCTTTGTAGATCCAACACCCAGCCCCCGAGCCTCACAGGAGCCGCAACGCAGGGGTGCCACACGGGGTGCAGCAGGTAAAAACCATTCTCTGTTCCCTCTGCTCGAAACCGGCAACGAGTTAAGCACAAAGGTAGAAATCTGCAACCCGCTTCTCTCGGATCACGGACCCCTAGGGCCTGGGAAGGGTCAACCTTGTCCAGGAGCAGGGCGAGGAGCGCGACCAAAAAAAAAAAAAAATCGGTATTGGCCAAGGTCACCCAATTGGGGTGGGACGGGGCCTGGGGTCCCCCGTTCCCAATTCTCACCTAAACGCTCTCCCAAGACTCACACACCAAAGGCGCACGCTGAGTATCTAGCCGCCCTTACAATTAATCAGAAACCAAAAGATCATCGAAGCCGAGTCCCCTTCGCGGGGCTGGCCGCAGAGAGGGGACAGGCAAGGTCACCGGGCGAATTTCGACCTGCAGCTCGCACCCATCACAGCTGCCTGCTTGGGTGCCCGTGCAGTTTCCGGAGTCTGCAAGATGGAGTTACCCGGCGGAGGGTCCCCAAACCCCTCGCGAGGCAATGAACGCGCCGCTCGGCGGGCTCCGAATCTTCCAGCAACGCCTCCACACGGGCGTCCCCGCCGCGTCCACGCCAGCCCGGGTCACCAGCCCAGCTCGCGACCCCCACAGGGCGCATCTGGGCTCGCGGGCGTCCCGGGGCAGCCCGCGGGGAGCCCCGGGGAGGAGGAGCAGCCCCGACCCGGCAGGCTGGGCGGGGGCGCGTCGCCGCCGCGGCCCCCAGACTGACGCGAAGAGGGGGGCTGCGCCACGTACCTTGGCCGGCAGGTGCCGCCGCAGCCTCCGCCTCGGTCCGCGGCAGCAGGGGACGCCGCTTCGCATCGCCCGCCCGCTTCGCGCTCATGTTAGGGATGCGGCGCCCGCCCGCCGCTCGGCCCGGGCCGCGCGTCCCCGCCCGCAGCGGGCGCCGCGCTCGCGCCCATTCAGCCCTGCGCCGTCCGCAGCCCCGCGCCCGGCCCAGGAGGGCTCGGGGGGCGGGCCCAGAGTCACGAGGGCGCTGGGGGCCAATCGGAGCGCGCGGAGGCCGCCGCCGAGGCCCCGCCCCGCGGCCGCGACCCCTCCACCGGGGGCTCCCCGCCGCGACGCAGGGCTGCGGTCCGCTGCGGACGGCGGCGAGCGCACCCGCTCATCCCTCCGGCTGTGCTTGCAGTGGTGGGGGCGGAAGGAAGCCGGCGCGTGTTTGCCGGCTCCCGGGCTGCAGAGCCTGCGCAGCGGATGAATGAAGGGGGTTCTGTAGTCCCGGGGGTGCTGGCGGGCACCGCTCCGCACATCGACGCAGGTTCCTGTTCTGGAGATTGTGGCCTGCCTCGCCTTGCAGGTCGGCTTTGTAGTGTGCCGTTCCTGTGTAGGAGCAGACGAGAGATAACGGTAATTGCTCACTAGGTTTGTTCTCTTTTTAAGTGGAATACCTTGAGTATACAGTTACAAAGCCCTTCGTGATTGGGTTTCAGTCATACAATGTTCCATCATCAGTGTACACTTCCCACCGCCAATGTCCCCAATTTCCCTCCCATACCCGCCTCCTGCCTCTATAACAGGCACTTTTCCTCTCTCTCTCTCTCTCTCTCTCTCTCTCTCTCTCTCTCTCTCTCTCTCTCTCTCTCTCTCTCTCCCTTCCTCTCTCTCCCTCACCTTTCCCTCCCCGCTGCCACTGCTACCTCCTTTGGGGCAATTTGGTTTGCAATACAAGTACTGAAAGGTTATTGTCCCTTTACCTGCTTTCAGCACTCAGTTCTTGTTCAGAATGATAATTTCCAACTATCATTGTCATAGTGGGCCTTTCTCTATCCTAGCTGTCCGCTCCCCACCACCATTTTCGCAATTATTAACTACTTTTATTGGTGGGTGAACATAAGTAAATTACTCTAAATCATTGGGGTACTCCATGGCAAAGCCGGGATCAGAAACTGCCTTCCCATACCTCTGGACACCCACCCCCACTCCCACCTCTGCCTTAATTCCAGAGGGAAAAAATGATAAAATAGTCTTCGAGAGCACAAATATTCGTGAATCCCCAAATTCAGGAATTAAAAGGCATTTAAAAGTCCAGGGCTAGAGTGATAGCACAGCGGTAGGGCATTTGCCTTGCATGCAGCCAGCCCAGCCGAGCCGGGTTCGATTCCTCCACCCCTCTCGGAGAGCCTGGCAAGCTACCGAGAGTATTCGATATGCCAAATACAGTAACAAGACGTCTCACAATGGAGACGTTACTGGGCCCGCTCTAGCAAATCGATGAACAACGGAAAGACAGGTTGTTGTTGTAAAAGTCCAGCTGTACTGTGTCCCTAATAGTGCGCCTTAGACACCTACCTGCCACATTTTCGGGCCTTAGAACTTGTTGACTGAGATCATTCAGTGAAGTTGCTGGTCCACCTTTTACAATGCCTTTCACGACCGGTAGAGAGCTTCTCTCTGTTTTGCTTGGGAAGCCAACTCCAGCTTGGCAAGGAAGATACAAGACACGGAGGCAAATGTATTTGTCCTTCTCTTTTCAGTAGCTTGTGCAGGATTTGCCTGGAGGAGTCCGTTCTTCCCACGGTGGGAGAGGTGCGTTTTTCCAGTGTGGAGTCCGGGTAACGAGGGTCAGGAAGGAATAAATAGAAGGCTGGGAGGATGCTAGCTTCACACATCTTAAAGGAGGTTTGCCATAAAAATATTTCTGGGATGTTTTAGGGTGAGATCATGAGAACATTTTAAGAATAGTGATCAAAGAGTTGTTCCTGAAAGATCTCACTGTAGTGCCTCTGGCCACGGTTGGCTCGATAGGGCAGCTTTAAGGAAAATGCTGGATACCCCACCCCTTGTTCTTAGAGACCTGTCACCTTCAACAGATCTCTTTCTATCAGCTATTCTGACTCTTTTTACCTCCCAGATACTCCCTATCCTTAAAACCAAGCCCTGCTTGATATGGGGATAGGGGGTAGGAGAGGAACACCTGAATTGGACAAGTGGGTGTGATGTGGGGGTGAGGAAGAAAGGAGACTCGAAGCCCTCTCCCATCCCAGCCTAACAGGACAGCTATTAACCTGTCAAAAGGTTTTGCAACTTCTTCCCTTCTCTTTCACCTGAAAATTTAGGTTTCTCTGAGATTAGGGACATCTAAAAGACTGACCTTATAATTTGGGCCAGTGTGGTCCTTATAATTTGGATGTGACCTCTCTCTGAGAGAACCTGCGAGGCAGCATTCTCTCGGCTCTGATTGGGTCAACGGAAAAATCTTAACGTTTTTGTACTGATAAGCACCCCCAGGCCCCTGGCCAGCCGGACAGTACCCGCCAGGCCAGTGGAGGCTACTCGGTAGTACTCTCTTGACCTGTAGTCTCCTTAATCTTCATTACCATACCCAAAAATGCACACCCATAAATGCGTCTCCTCCATTTTCTGGACATGCCACAGATGGTCTTTGTGTGTTGCTTAATTGCCCATGCGCCCTCTTTCCCTTCATGAATATATATGGTAGCACTGCAGCACTGTCTCCTGTTGTTCATCGATTGGCTGGCTCAAGCGGGCCCGGTATTGTCTCCATTGTGAGGCTTGTGTAAGTTTCCTGAATAAGTATTAGAATGTGTACAAGCTTTTCATCCCTCTAAGCCAGACCCAACACGTTCTCTTTGAGCTGTTCTCCAGCTGGTGCTGGTGGATGGGTTTAAGGTGTTTCATTGCCAATACAACCCCTCTTTTCTATTCACTTGTTCCTGTGCTTTCTTAGAATGGCAAAGCTGACCTCGAATCTGCTTCCTCATTTATACTACTGTATTTGGTGGGGAGAAAAACTGATATGATTGTGCAATAAGCCAAGCCCTGTCCACAGACTTGATCCTCACTAAGGACAAAGTCCTTATCTACTGCTCTGGATTAAGAGAGCCTTTGGGCCAGATAGGTGGCTCCAGGGTAAAGCACTTGTTTTGCCTGTATAAGGCCCTAGGTTCAATTCCTGGCACTGGGAGTGGGGGGGGGGGGGGGGAGGGGGAGAGAAGGGGAAGGATGGGGAATGGGTGGAAGATAGAGATCTCCACATAATAGATTAGGATCAGCCACTAGATCTCAGAGAGGCTTGCCAGTGAAGAGATTAGACCATTTGTCAACTGGGACAGAAACTGCTTTTTGCACTTCTTCAGTCCCTTATGCTCATTGCTTTGGTCATTCTGATTGAGAGCAGGCATTGTGGTTACCCTCAGCATGCTATGCACTCTTCCCTTTTTTGTGATACAACATACACATTTGGTTAATTTTGCTGTACTCCTTGTTGAGTGAGCAGGTTTTAACTGATCTAAGCCAGTAGCTCCTCTCAAAGTAGAGCCAAGGGCTCTCAAGGCCAGGGTTGCACCAATGCCAGAATCCCTTTATAATGATCCAGGACATCATTTCCCTTCTCTACTGGTGGTGCAAAAGCAACAATTCATAAAATGTCCTTCACCGTCACTAAGCCAGGTCGTGGCACCAATCTGTACAAATGTTCTTTACTGCACAATCACAGATTTGTATTTTCATTGGTTTTTGAAGTGTGATTTCATGCAGGAATGCTTTTGATGGAGGAGAAAAAGTGATTAACTTCACTAAGTTATCAATCCTTGAGTAAGTATCTTTTAAATATTTTGTTGGACAAAATGGAAAATACTCATAAACAATTTTACTGCAAACTAAAGTAGGGTGGTTGGCTAAGGAAAACACTTGCACCATAGTTTGAAGGCAGCTGGTTTGTTCGTTTTCATGAAACACCAATGTTTCCTTTAGAAAACAACTTGCAGATTATGGATACTTTGACTGGAGTGATAGACGTTTTATTGGCAATGAACAAAGAGAAACTGTCTCTTCACCAACAACAACTATGGGAAGTGGTGAAGAAGTTTCAGTTTTCAAAACAACGTTTGAATTTTGAAAAGCTTGCATCACCATGAGTTTGACAGAAACTTGATGTTTAAGAACTTTTCTGATGAGATCTATATGGTATTAGTATATATTGATATGGTGAAAGTGGAAGGGTGGAGCACCAGATAAATAGTTAAACTATTTATCTGATCGTTTAAAACTCACCCACCCCAAAAGTTGTGCTGTCAAGAAAAGATGATAGGATCACTGTAGCACTGTCCTCCTATTGTTCATCGATTTGCTCGAGCAGGCACCAGTAACGTCTCCATTGTGAGATTGTTGTTACTGTTTTTGGCATATCGAATATGATAGGATGACTAGGGTGGGAAAATACAAAAGCTAAAAGGAAGCCCCAGTCAGGTTGGCTCCTGTTTGTATACTCACCTATGTCCAGAGAGATGACAGAATCTGGCACGGTTCAAATGCCCAGACAGTGACAGGTACTGAGCACAGAAGTCAAACTCATGTGGCCGTGTCATGTGAGTCATGTGACTGTGTCTCTGGGGCATAGTTCTAAAGGGACCCAGCAACAAGATTTTAGACTGAGAAAATATATACACTAGCTTGATTATAGCATAGGACAAAATCAGGCCATTGAACACTGGAGTCAAGCAGAAGGATGTAGGGTCAGACCAGATTATCATAGACTGGAATTGGCCAGAGGAAAGAGAGGTGAGGTGGGTGACATCGTCCCTGAGTGAAAGGCCTGACTATTGGGGAGGGACCGGATACAGCTTCTTGACTGAATAAACTAAACTTCTTCAGCACTCAAGTTTTATATTCAAATCTTCCATATAATTTTTAAGAACCCACTAATGCAAGAAAAATCCACTTTTGTGGTAACAATGTGATTTGGGAATATTGGATAATGTCCACATCTGGAAGAGTGACTCAGTGAATCAATATTTTCCAAATGCATGTTATTACGAAATCATATATGGGTAACAGATCCATTTTAAATGTAAGACAGGCCAGGTATTTTAATTAAACCATATAAAAAGTTTGTAAATAAGGTTTTAGATTCTACAACAAAAAGTCTTTAAGAAATGATTCTTATAGAGTCTTGGTGGTATATCAA